ACTGCCACTAAGACAGAGTGCACCTATCCAGTTCCGGCCAGGTGCAGAGACAAAGGATGACCTTGAGTTTCTAAGAAGAATGTTATTATGGCTACATATCACCTAACTCCTTATAATCCCCCCCTCCATTTTCCCACAATAGAAAATGAATAGTAGACAGTATGGCAGGCCAGAAGTCCAAAAGAAGAGACAGCTTGCAGGCCTGACACTCAGCTTATTTAACCTCTGTTCAGCACAGTCATCTTTCAATGTATGTAGTTTGCAGCTATATACATTTGAGGAATGAGGAAGAGGGTGGAGTGAACCAGTAACTGTTAAGATGATAGACTAGGACTAGGAAGACCCTGGTCCAAGTCCACCCTGAGTCACAAAATCTCACGAGGTCGCTTGGAACCAATCAGTCTGCTTCACAAGGGGATTGTTTTTAAGAAAAATTGAAGGAGGGCGTGCTAGTTGTTTTCTCTTTTAACGCCTGGAAAGTAAAGGTAAAACATATGTATTTGCACTTGTTCAATTCAATGTGACCAGAATAAAAGTTTAAACATTAAAATAAAACAAAACAGAATAAGACATAGTAGCGCATTGCAAATAATGGTGAAATCCCTGAGTGGCCAAAGTCTGCCTAATTTACAGACAGTATAACAGAATTTAGTAGAATTCAGAGAACTATGATCATGCTGATCTAACATGAGTACACAGAAGAGATCAGAATTTCCTTGGTCTTTTGTCAAGTAAGGAGTCATGAATTTATAAGTCCTTATAGAGCAGGGGTGTCAAACTCAAGGCCTGCGGGCCGGATCCATCCTGCAGGGTGCTTAGATCTGTTCTGCAGAACCACCCTGGAAACAGCGAAGGGCCGGTCTGCCAGTGAAAACTGAGCTCTATTTTCACTGGCAGAGGGTTGCAGGAGACCATTGCAGACAAAAATGGAGCTTGGGAGCCCATTTTCACTGGCTGAGCACTTGGGCCACCACAGGTGCCCCCCCAACACTAATGAGGTCAACCTGGTCACGCCCTCCACATGCACACACACTACTGAGGTCAAACACAACTCTGATGCGACTCTCAATGAAATCGAGTTTGACACCCTCGTTATAGACGGAGCAGTATAATGGGATATGAGTTGTGGTTTCAATGGCCCCTTTGCCCAGCTAGTCCTGGTTTACTTACACGTACGTCTGTCACAACATCTTGCTGTCAATCACATGATTACTTGGGTTGCTTAGATCTTGCCTACAGGGCCGGCCTGGAAACAGCTAAGGACCAGTCCGCGGTGCCTCTGCTAGCGAAAACAGAGCTCTGCTTTGGCTGGCAGGGGGCTGCAGGAGGCCGTCCTGGCTGAAAATGGGGCATGGGGGACGCACACACACACACACCCGCACTCCATTTTCACTGGCAGAGGGCTATCAAAACAAACTAAAAATAAAACAAAAGGAGAAATGTTTCCCCTTTTGCATCTGAGCATGCAAGAAGGGACAGGAAAGGAGAAAGGGAAGGAGGAAAGAAAAAGAAGGTAAGGTGGGAAGAGGGCAAGGAAGGAAAAATAAAGAAAGAGGGGAAGGAAGAAGAAAGGAGAAAGAAGAGGGAAGAAAAAAGAAAAGGAAGGAAGATTATGATGAGAGTGAGGAGGGTCTCAGGGAAGTCCTGCCTTAGCACTTGGCCACCACAGGAGCCCCTGACATGAGTCCCAAATCATGCCCCCCATGACCATTCCCACCCCTGGCTACACCCCAGGGGTGGGTTTCTCGCCCCGTTCCAACCGGATCGGTTGGAACGAGGCCGGCGGTGTCCTCGCGCACGCACGCGGCATCCTCGTGCACACACGCGGTGCACGCGTGCATGCGAGCGGCGCGCGCATGCGTACTAGCGTCTGCGCGATGCTCCAGCTGCTCCTGGAGGATCGCGCAGGCGTTCTGTGCATGCGTGGAAAGTGCAAAATTTGAAAAAACCGGGTAAGGAGCGGGCGCGGGTGTGCGGGCGCATGCGGGTGCGGGGGGGGGGGCCTTCGCCATTCCCGGAAGTTACTTACTTCCGGGTTCGGCGACCAACCGGATCGCAGGGACCGGTGCGAACCGGTCGAAACCCACCCCTGCTACACCCCCTC